GTTCGTCGGGTTCAATTGATACCTTCTACCTAGGTTATACGGAACTCCAGCTCGGGACAACGGGTCTATCCCCCGGGTTTTTGTTACGATCCTACCCGTAGACTGCCGCGGAGGCGAGGAACTGGACGGGATGAGATGATGTAATAGAATCGGCCCATCCATAGAGTCATATACCATAGTAGTATTTACTAGGTAGTCAGTTGTTATTATTATTATTATTCACTCCAGAAAATACTACTGCTAACTACTCTTTCAACCCAAAAAGAGGGGCAGTGCCGGCCTTGCCGCTTTCGGCCCGTGATCCCGGTGATGGAATAACGTTAGTCCAGTACCCCTCCATGTTGGAGTCGCGTGGCTGGACCCCAAAGGCGGTACCTTCTCCTTCCCCATTCTTATTATTCTGGCCTCTGGCCCCTCTTGGGTCTCTCCCGTCACCCAAATCAATTCACCGGAGTCCTCACCGGTCATCACGCGCTTGGTCATATTTTTTTTTCTCTCCTTTCTGGAGCGGGATGAGTGGGATGATGGCTCCAACGGTTCATCTCATTCGGCCGGGCGCGCGTCTAATTGCTTGAAAGCTACGGATCCATGGGGGGGCACGATGCATGCATATTATTGCTGAGGGTACCCATGTCGGTGATGCTCTGGCCTCTTTTGAATACTCCAACCAAATGGACGAATCTGATATGTCAGATGCATGATAACGGATGCATGTGGCTTTGATTTGGGAATTAACTGGCTGGGACTTTTCTTTCTTTCCGGTACAATAACATCAGTGGTACCGTAGCATAACTATTTATGGCCGCCTAAGGGCCGCGCACCAAGGTTTGTCCCTAGCACATAGTACTAAGTATAATTCCACGCCACAACGGTGTGCTTGGATTTATTCAATTGGCAACAGCATGACTTGGGAGTGTAGCACAACTCCAAACGGCTCTGGTTTGACTCGGGTTTCATGATCATGCTGGCGTGTCCATGTCCAGGGTCGCGGAGATCGGAAGATGGTTCTAGTACTTTCTACATATTGCTGAAAAGTGGCCCCATCCAGCCTCCAGCCTTACATGGGGTAAATGCACCAGGTTACTTCGAGCAAGTGACACCGTGTGGCCACAGCCCGTATTGCTTAGAAATGCCTTCATTGTCTTCACCGGCCACCGATGTTGGTATGTCAGGAGACGCAAGCCGTGAGACAACAAAGCATCGGCAGGTACTTCGCCACTCATCATCGTTTCCGCTCCTACCTGGTTGGGAAGCCATATCGGTAGGGATTTCTAATTATCTATTCGCCCCTTGACTCATGCTGCGGCATGAGTGAACATGGGACATGAGGTCACCACTGCCGTGGTTCTATTATATTGATAGTAAGCGGTCATTGCGAATGATATCGACAACATGCATAGTCATAAAAGTCTCCCATCACAGCAGCCAAGAAAGCCAGTGTGAAGCCAGAAATGCGCAAATCCAAGGTGAATTCGCGCTCACTCCATTGAAACCACATCTATAAATACACAGGAGGCAAGACCTAGCAATATCTCTCGCGCTCCTTCCCCAGAATCTGTCACCTTACTCCTCCTTGACACCGCCCCTCCAGTTCTTCTCCGCGTTCTCAACGGAGGCCTTGTCGCTCTTGATCTGGCCCTGGTTCAGGAAGCTGTTGCTGGCCTTGAAGGGGCGCTGGAGGTCACCGGTCGCAGGCTTGCCGAAGACGTGGATCTTGACCAGGTTCGACTCGAAGGCACCCTTGAGGGGGATGATGGACTGGATCAAGAGAGGGTTGGTGTACTTGAAGTAAAGGTGCATCACACCCATCATACCCACACCCATCAGCTGGCTCCTCATCAGCTGGCGCAGCTGTCCCTTGTCGTACTCCATGTTGGTAGTGGTGACCGGCTTGGGCTCCTCGCCGCTACCCATAGGGGCAGGCTCCACGTATTTCAATGTAGTCAGATCTGATCGCAAAGTATTAGCGAACCGTAGCTTAATGAAGACAGAATAAGAAGCATACCATTCTTTTTGTTGATCTTCGACTGAGTGTACAGATACACTCCCAGAATGATCACGTTGGACAGGATGTACATGCCACGGACCAGCATCAGGACATCGGGGTCCTCGAAGGGAACCTTCTTCGCCAGCTGCATCATCACCACGATGATGGCCAGGTTGGTACTGCAAGACGGGCAAAATGTCAGTATTATTCACCGAGTAGCATCACGACATGGCAGACCATGGTCGTTCGAGTCGTATGCAGAATAATGCAGGTATCACTTACACTTGAGGAGACACCATCTTGCCGGTAGTACTGAGACCAGGGAGCCTTGAGAAGTGAGGAGCAGCACACGATGATGTGAAACTGGGGAGGATGGGGAACGCGTGCGCAAGGACAGAAACTTCGAACTGCGGAACTGGAGCCCCGGGGAAGTCGGACAGCTGTCCAGATAGTGAGGATCACGTGCTTGCTCTTGACCTCTCTTGGCTTAGCCGTATCAGTGTAAGGCGTAAGGGAAGATAGCGGCGATAAGAAAGTGATAAGCAGGTTTATTACCTGATTCGGCGGTTCAAGGTCTACTGCAGCCTCAGGCATACAGTCCCCCGGACAAGGCAAAGGCACAGATCACCTGGCTGCTTAGATAATCCGCTGAGCAACTATCATGGTCTGCACACTCTCCTGCCAACCTCTGTTATATCGCTACGAACGTGTGCAAACCCCCCACGTTACGGTTTAAAGGTCTCTGTGTCCTCTCTCCGCTGATTAGACCCACTGGTGCAAGTATATTGATGCAATTATATTTGCTCACAAGTGTGGTATGTCTGGCATTTGGGGATTCGACTACTGAGTGACTCTACCCAGCAATGGCGTGGACGCTCAGCCCCAGTTCCATGCGCCCAATAAAGCGAGGCCATCGGTGCTTTGGCTGAAATTCTTTCTCGAGATCAAGACAAGATACAAGGACCTGAAGCTAGTACTTCGCTGCCTTTGCAACGGCGACCAACAACCACCTCGTCCGTTATGACATCTCCGTGGATGGAAGCTGAGCAGGTTTCCCAAAACGGACTAGCGCCACTCGACGGTCGACGCCCGTCTTTAGCGACCAGGATGGCTCTGACATTTCTGACTCCTTCATCCATCAACAACGCGCGTGCTTGTGCTGCATCGGATCGCACCAACATCCACCATCACGTTCTACCACTTCCAATACTCGACTGACGCGACATTTTCGCCCCTGCGGCCCCAAATCTCGACGCTTTTGCAAAATGCCTGGTGGAAAGGGAAAGTCTATCGGTGGAAAGGCCGGCTCCAAGGACTCTGCGGGGAAGAGCCAGAAGTCCCACAGCGCAAAGGCTGGTCTGCAGGTCCGTATTCGTCCTTTTTTTCTCCCTGCAGGCATATGACATTTGATCCATCCCATGGTGTCTGGCGGCGACATACCACTGAAACCGTTATGGCGTGGGATTTTGCTTTTTGCCTCCTTTGCCCCTCGCGATCGCCTTTATGTTCGCAAAAGCACGCGTATAGCTTTTCTATATCAAACATAATTCCTTCAAAAGCTATATCGCACCGGCTTGTCGCGGTTCGGGCGACTGGGTTGAGAGGGGTGGCAGTCACGATCCCTCCCGTATCCACCTTCACATCAAAGCTTCACTTCACACATTCATGCCTATCTACTATCATCAGTCCCATTCGCTGACAGTATCCTTCAACTACAGTTCCCTTGCGGTCGTGTTAAGCGCTTTTTGAAGAACAACACCCAGAACAAAATGCGCGTTGGCGCCAAAGGTACGACCCATTTGTCTAAGCCTACAGAAGGCGCACCTTCCTTTGTCTTCTTTTTCAGCCATGCTGACAAATCCCGATCGCAGCCGCCGTGTATGTCACCGCTGTTCTCGAATATCTGACTGCGGAAGTCCTCGAATTGGCCGGAAACGCTGCCAAGGATCTCAAAGTCAAGCGTATCACCCCGCGTCATCTGCAGCTCGCCATCCGTGGTGATGAGGAGTTGGATACCCTGATCCGCGCCACTATTGCCTTCGGAGGTGTTCTGCCGCGCATCAACCGCGCGCTCCTGCTGAAGGTGGAGCAAAAGAAGAAGAGCAAGACTGAGGCTTAAATGATGGTGGATACCCGACGAACTCCGGCGTTTGGTGATTGAATGATCGTTAAAGGGGAAAAAGCTAGGAACGGGTTCTTTATTGTGATCATGAAGCTACTTCCACCCCCTCTGCAAAATCACGTCCGAACAGGGAGGCAAGGAAATCAGGTCACGTCCTTCTGACGAACAAAAAAAGCCCACCTTTTATTCTCGTGACGCTGCGAAGCTCGAGATAATTATTTCCAAGTTCTTCCTTGCTTCCCCCCATCTTTTATTTTACTTTTATTATTTTATCTCCCCTGACAGCTTGATGTCTTTTGTGTGTATTCCGTGTTTCATGTCAAATTTTCCAAGGGCGCTGTAATGGGAAAAAGGGGATATGTTTCGGTAGTGGGAAAGTTATTATTATTTATTTATTTATTTATTTCCATGACTTTTCTTCTATTTTCTCTTCTTCACTTTTACCCCTTATGTTTCTGTACTCTTGTGTCTTCTCTAATTTCAACGGGTCTGTACGAGTCTACCTTTTTATTTACCGCCTTCTCCTATTATCTTCTTTTCTTCCTTCTATGTGACTGACCCATTCGATCATCCCTGCCCTGCTGATACACCAAAGAAATGGCTGGGTGTGATATGACAGGAGTCGTACTACTACATGTGTATTGTCGAGTAGATCCTAACTACCTTAGTAAGTAACATTACTTAAACCTGCTTGTATGAAATGATCACTAGTTTCATATAGTAGACGGTACGTATATATTCACGCCTGATATCATATCTAACATGGCACTTCGCGTTAGTACTAAGAGTAGCCTAGTAGATAAGTAGTTCCAGAGTGATCTACATACATATATTGAAACGCTACTTGTTACCAGTAGTACTTACTACTAACTAGTTGAACCGAACTAAACGATGCGATTGAGCATTGGAAGTGAATGACGTCTCTATACCTAGTACTATATACTATACTACAGTCTAGTAAGTCCCGAAGCGACCATGATGAGAACAACAACTGAACTGATCAATCAAGCTCTGTGAGGGTTTGAAGGAGAGAAAAGGGGATGGAGAGAGTCAACAATGTATATAAATACAGAAAAACAACAGCTAAGTAAGTGGAAGGGAGGTATGGCGATTTGAATGGCAAGGTAGATAAGGGAAGAGGGTGACGAGCCCACCTAATGGCAAGGGAAATATAATCCGGCCAGACCGCCGTCGGGAAAAGGGATAAATCACAGGACGTCATCAAGTCGGACAATATTGCAAGAGTTGTCATTTGTCCACCTAGATAGTTGCCCAGGCATTCTCATCCCTAGAAAAGATACCCACAGGCAAAACTCTCCCCCTCCAAGAAGCTGCAAAGAATGCAAATATCCGCCCATACAATTCGCCACTGTATCTCCCCTAACGCACGCCATGCAAGTCATCAAGTTTTTTTTGAATTACACCTGCAGGTCAGGGAATTGAAAATTTGTAAAGAGAATGAATGACCCGTCCTCGGCAACAGCCACATTGCATACGATGTGGTATGCCGACAACGTTCCGTCAATTCCTCCCCTCCCACTATCACAGGGGCTCCATAAAAAAAAAACACGATTAGAGGAGATGAGAGAACAAAAGCACATTGGACACGTCTGACAGAGAAATAAAAACATTAAATGATGCAAATTGCCCCATATACAAAGTGACAAACAAGTAGATAGAAGGAGATAAGTAAAAAGGTTAAATGCAAATGCTGGTGAGTCATTTCTCTTGCCATGGGCACACAAAGACATCCGAATCCCGTTTTGTTGTCGTCCTTCGTAGCCATCCAGGTGTTGATGATTGGTTTTATATTGCTTTCCGCCGACACAATTTGTAGAAGGTAAAAAGTAAAAGTAAGAGGAAAAAAAAAGTATAGATAAAAAAAATGTTCCTGCATGCAAGGCGCCCGCGTCTCAAATAGTCCACAGCTTTCTTTTTGGGGAGGTCTTTATTTTCCGCGAAACAAGGAGAAAAGCATAAAAAGGTTGCGTTCAAACAGCGTGCCTGCTGGGCTGCCCCAAAATAACGTCTAAACTTGGCTAGATCAGAGAAATATTCTTTTGGTTCTCTCGGTTGAGTGTCATCTCGTCATCCCTCATCGAATCGTAAGCCAATAATCGCAGAACAGGATCAGGCCTCGTGATATAAGAGTCGTATGCATCTTGCGGCAAAGCAATCTAACAAGTTTCGTCGTCTTCGTCTTCCCATCAAAGTGTTTACTCCACAATAATCTCTACACCAGAGCTGGTGCGTAACTCGTCGCTTCCGCGCGATTGGTGTCCGTTCTGGCGTCGAAATCCTGGACCTTTCTCGGGCATCGGGCCTCTCGGCTGCCTAATGGGCATGCGCTCCTGTGACTGACCGTCAAATCCAACTCCGATGGATCGGTTACTACCGATGGGACCAGCGCTAGAGGGCTGACTTTCTGGCTGCTCCCAAGAGAACATACCCCGCAATCTCCTCGGGCTCGCATTCGGCCCACCAATTCCAGTGCCCAGAGAGAGGCTACTGAGGCTGTTAACCAACAGACTGTCGTCGCGCTGCATACCGAGGGAGGAACCGGATGGCGCGGACGTAAGCGTAGGGGTGTTGGAAGTGCCGCTCGTGGCACCATCGTAATGTTGCAGGCGCGCACCGTTAGACTGCAGCGCCGCAGGGAAGCTGGCAGAAGAGGGGACGGGGGATGGCGTGTAGGAGCGTAGGTCTGCAAACGACTTGGCGGCTCGAAGGTTCTGCGTGTTGCCAAAGTTGCCAGGGGAGTCCAAGACTCCCAGGAAGCCAGCAGAAGGCTGACCGCGCAAAGTGTTAAAATGAGTGGGTCCGTCGTTGCGAGACTCACTGAAATCAATGGTTGCGGCGCGGTTCAGTCCACGACGAGCTGTCTCCGTCGGTTGGACAGCGGCAGGGATGGACGACAAGGGAGGGCTAACATTGGTGCCAGGAGCGACCTTGAAAACATGCACCTGCCGCTGATCACCTGATCCCCGAGACGCATGGCCTAGGCCCATGTTGTGAGCAAGTGTATGAACGGTGCGGCGCTGGACAGGAGAAAGGTTGGACGGGAACACGAGGGTATCACGCGCCGTATCTTCCTTGAAAAGAAGAAGCTGCGAGTAGTACGAAAGCGTTGTGCTATCGTTGAGGTCGACCTCTGTAGATACGCGGGATGGGTTAGCGACTTGCAGAAAACAGCACAGGGGTGTCGAGCCACCTACCCAACTTTTGGCCACGCTGGGAGACGGGGGACGGGGAGGTAGCGGGAAGGTGCGAGGTCAGAGACGACATGGAACTCTGAGTCTGAAGTTGCGAGGTCGCCATGGGGCGATGCTGCTCTTCCAGCTGACCACGACGCTCGCGCTTCTCACGTTCAATCCGCTCCCGCTCCTGTAGCGGCAGCATCTTCTTGTATTCGACCCGCAGTTTCCGACCCTGGAGCTCGAAATGGTTGAGGACCTCGATGACGGTGGCGGTCTCCTCAGCAGAAGTGAAGTTGGCGAAAGCCAATCCCCGGAAGACGCCGTTGTCGAAGTGGTAGTTGAAGGCGTAAGGCAGGGGCAAGTTGAGCTCAGTCATGAGCTGCACCAGCTGCTCCTTCTTCACCGCAAAGGGAATGTTCTTGATGACAATGGCGGTGGGAATCAACTCGTCCTCCGCTTCCGACGGACCACCAGAGGCTTCCGGGCGCATCGCGCTGCTTTGGAGGGGACCGGGACCGAGGTTGGAGAAGGCGCTGGGGATGCCAGGCTGCTGATCAAGCCATGTCTACTCGTCAGTCAGCAACGCCAATTCCATCAAATTCATTCCACCCACGCAATTGAATACATACCGTTGGCAAGCCCGCCCTGCCAGTACGCGAAGTTGTCTTGAGGCTGGTCGAAGCCGACCGAATGCCTCCAAGAGCTTGCGCATTGGCAAAGCCGTTGGGGTTCCAGGTCTGGGAGCCGGCCAGATCGTAGGCGTAGGAGTTGTTGTGCAGCGACGAGTTCAGGCGCTCCAGCCGACCGGTGTCGTAACGAGCCATGTCGTCATACAAGTTCACGGGCATGGGGCCATACGCGTCAAACTGACGAGAGGGTTGACGGTGCAGCGGCTGCTGGTGGCGTTGGGAGCCAGGAGAACGCGCCGCGGAGTTATCGTGGTACATGTCCTGGGCTTGTTGATAGCTCATGGCGGCGAAAAGATTGCAGAATCCCTAGAAGCAACCAAACCGAGGAATGTGGGCACTGAGATCCACCACACAACGAACCCTTTCAATAGATCGCAACTGTTGTGTCTGACGAAACTACTCAAACATAGGAGCGACCGGACAGGCGCTGGACAGTAGCGGAGAGGAGGATGTCAAACCACGCTTGGTTTGGGGGTGTTTGCAAGGTCGAGAGGATCGTAGCAAAACAGGGTCAACTTCCGAGGGGGAGGAGGGAGTGACCGATCGTTTGGTTGACTGCGGAGAGGAAAAGCGCGGTGGAAGCGACAAAAACCGAAGAAAAACAAGCAAAATCGCTCACAGCTGCTGAAATGATTCTCTCGTGACTATTGGGTCATCAATGGCCGTCGTATCCTTTAGCATAAAAATGTTAGGAACTATTTTTTCTTTCGTTTTTGCTTTTTTTTTTTATGTTTGTCTTTCGCTTCTCAAGACCCCTAGGGGCATCAGAAGAGGGCAGGGAAGGGAGAAGTCGGGAAAAAAGAAAATGGGGTTGCGGAAAAAATCGAAGTAGCAAGAGAAGGAAGAAATGGAAAATAAACGGAGCTTTAACACGGGAAGAGAGATAAGGAAAAAAAGGAAAACGAGCTGCCACTACCTGGGAAGGATAAGCAGTGCCCAAGGCTTTTTGATGGCCGAACAGAGAAAGAGAGAAAGAGAGAGAGAGGGAGGGAGGGAGGGAGAATTGGGAGGAGTGAGGGGGAAGGGAAGGAAAACGAGGAACGAGCAAGTAGCAGGTGGTCCAGGAGGAAGAGGAACACCAAAGGAATCTTACTCTTTGGCTGCAGTTGCTGCTTATTGCTGCTGGTTGCTGCTGGGGGGGAAAAGGGAAGGAAAGGGAAAGGGAAAGGCACGCCCGCCAAAACGGCACGCAGAAAGAAAAGCCGGCAACACCGCGACCGCTTAGTCGGGTCCGGTCTGGTCTGGTCTTTTTTTTTCTGCTCTTCCGCGAATCCACACCCCGAGGAAGGGAGCAAGAGGGAAAACAAAAGAAAAGGAAATAAAATATAATAGAAGAAAAGGAGTTGATGGGGATGGCTGAACGCACTCTGCTGCACTGCACTGGATAGATCGTGCGGGAAATGTGATGGAGAGAAAGCAACGAGAGAAGCGCGGCTTGCCCCCAAAGTCAGGAACACCCGGTCTGACTCCCTAATTCCAACAATAGATGAAACTGTCAGAAGGATATTGGAGGTGGTAAGAAAGACAATAGTCAGGGAATGTTAAATAAGGGCCACCCTACCCGAAATGGATGTTGAATGGGTAAGTAGTAGGGGGGATATGGGGGAGATGGGGGGGGAAAGAGGATGATCAACACAAATAGACAGAACTGAAGACTGGTAGAACTTTTGGAAGGGAGGGGGGAACGAAAAACGAAACCACAGAAACCAAACACAACCAGAGAGAGACAGACAGAGACAACCAAGGTGAGAGCGAATGGGATGAAGGGATTCCCGTAATCCAGAGTCAGATGGGGGACGGGACGGCGGACGGGGAAGATCGAAGGTATCCAGTGGGATGTCCTTCGCTAGTGGCTCTTACTTTTTTTTTTTTTTCTTCTTTTCCTTTTCCCTTTTTTATCCTTCTTCGTTTCTGGTGCTGGCTGCAGCTTTTCTTATTTTCCCTCAATTTGCTGTGCTGCTAGTATTATTCCCTTTTTTCCTAGTTCTGCTTTTCGTTGCTTTTTGTGTTTGGGTTCGAATCGGTGCTTTTTCTCGATGGTGGTAGAACCTTGATCCTGATATCACCGGGTGATGAAGTCACTAGAAGACGGCCGTCGCTGATCGGAGATGTCTGCGCTTCGTTTGTCCGCCTTGACTTCTCTTTGAGCTATCTATGCCCGTTGCGCGTGTTTTCTGCACAGCTCGTTAAGTGGCGGGAGGCAAAAAAAAGGAAAAGCAAAAAAAGGCGAGTCCCGGTAGCGTTGGGAGTGGAAGAAGTGGGAACAAATTCAGAATGGAGAATCTGAGGCTTTGCCCAAAAGGGGAGTGCGATCCTGATTGGTCCAAACACACAGGCAGGTCGAATGAGTCCAACAGGAACAGGGCGAAACAGTAGAATGGAGGATGCGGATGCAGATGCAAGAACAAGAATAAATAATGGGAAAATAAGAAAAGATAACAAAAGAAGTGAAAGTGAAGAAAATAAAAA